ATAGGATCCATTAAAGCCCAATACAATCCATTAAAGTTCAATACGATACATTAAAGCCTAATACACCGTTTAAGTCCAATACGATCCATCAAATCTCAACTAACATCCATTAAAGTCCAATATAACCGTTAAAACACAATACGATCCATTAAAGCCCAACTAACATCCATTAAAGTCCAATAAAACCGTTAAATAGTTAAATTTTTTTTTTAATATTTAATTATCCGCCGGAAATTGGTAACAAATTTAAAAAATATTTAGAAATTCGCCGGAAATTCGCCGGAAATTGTTAATTCTTTTTTTTTAATATTTAATTATCCGCCGGAAATCCACCGGAAATCCACCGGAAATGGTTACAAAAATTTTAAAAAATATTTAATCGTCCGCCGGAAATCTGCCGGAAATTGTTAGTTCTTTTTTTATAAAAAATATTTAATTATCCACCAGAAATCCGCCGGAAAAGGTTAAAAAAATTAAAAAAAACTATTTAATTGTCCGCCGAAAATCCGCCGAAATTGTTAATTCTTTTTTTTTTTTAATATTTAATTATCCGCCGGTAAAGAGAGAAGATTAGATGTAAATTCAAGATTAATGTGCGTACTTATGAAATCCGCCGAAAATAGGTGGGAGTCAATGATATGTTGACTTTTTTGGTTTCCGCTGGTAATCCGCCGGTAAATTACAGGCGGATTCCTTCCGCCGGAAATGGTCAGTTTTCTAAGTAGTGATATGTATTTATGTTATGATTTGCATGCTAGTTGTTTATTGTTTTCTTTTTCAAAAATAACATTATTTAGCATGCATGCCACAAAAGGTTTTAGTACAAGATTAGTAAATCGGGTTGCGATATAATTTGGGTTAATTGTCATGAGGGATGGCTCTCCTTAGGAATGGGTGAACGAACAAGGGTGAGCCGTAAACCCTGGAAATGCCGGTGACATTATAATCTTTACCCAATTGGACAATTTAAGAGATATCGTAATTATTTAAAAGGTTCTTTTAGGCACTTAGGCATGTTATCACTTGAGTCATTTTCTTCATGTGTGTTATGACATGTACGTTTGTTGCATGTATTCCATGAACTAATTGAGTTTTATAAAGCTGACTAATAACATGCATCTCATATGCTGGTAGGGTCCAGGTTTGACAAGAGCCAGGTTCTTGCTTAGAAGGTTTCATTTCTATCGTTTAAGCAATAAGTTGGAAGAATGTTTAGAGTTTATGGTCATGTTATTTTTGTTGTATAACCCGGTTTTGGACGGGTTAACTTTAGGATGTTTAAAATTGCATTTAAAACTTTGCAAGTCTTATGTTGTGACTTGGTTAATTAGCCATATATTACGGAATCGTTATAGTTATTTATTGTGAATGACGTGACATCTTATTTTAGAAATGAGGGTGTTACAACCACCACCGCCGCATAACAAACACCACCACATTATAATATATTTGTATGTTTAATTATCATCCCAAGCCCTTCTCAGTGGCCCCTACATTTTCACATTTTAGTTCATGTGATTTGAAGAAATGGTGGAAATCGATCCCACCAGTAATTTGCTAGATTTTGTTTATGTAAAAACAAAAACGTAAAAGATATGACATCATGTCATCATTATTGCTTATTAGTCGTGCATATATAGGATTACAAACCAATTTTATCGGGTAATTTTGTTGGATTTGATGTTAAAGTCGAGCCAAATGACTTATATCGTATGGAGATGCATCCATGGGAGAGAGTGCCTTGTATGATCTTGTTGCAATGGCTATATTTGCAGTATCTGAGGGATGAAGACCATCATAGAAAACAGATAAAGCCCGAACTAGGCAAGGTACTGAGTTTGGAATGCAGTATCCGTCTTCCCTTACTTGACAACAAGGAACATTTATAATTGGCAGTATTGCTGTAACTGCAAAATCCAAACACTTTATTAAGATCAATGCGGTCGCTCAACTTTAATGCAAATACTTCTGAAATACATATAGCCTTTACTTGAAAATCAGGATAAAAACGACGTATTCCTGCTTTGCTACCTTGTAGTGGGACAATGCTTGTAAAGTTGATGAAAGTGAATCTTGCTTCAGAGTTGTCGTTGTTGAGCCCGTCAATAAGAGGCTTAAGCCTGTCATTAAATCGTTTAACCGCATCATTGATCGACTCAACGCATGGTTTTCCTTTAGTGTCAAACCTTGCTATCTCAGTTGGGGTACACCCTATCTGAGCCAAACCGAACACGGCGATCTTCCTAGCTCCTAATCCGTATAAAGTCTGTCATATGAAGCAAATGTCGATTTTGGGGTTTTCAGTTCACCACAAAGTTAAGTACAAGACATACAACATTAAATTAAGATCATAAATCACAAACAAAAGGAAGCAAGATACAACATTTTTGTCACACTAGAAAGGGAAGATCATAATGTGTACGAAGTACTACGTACCATTAGTTGTTGAGAGTATTGTTGTATGAGCACTTCCGCATATTGATCGATGGTATATACTTGGCTCGTGGGGTAATTGTTCGGCATCAAGTAGTTGTTGATGTAATCGTTGGTTCCGATATTTACTATGTAAATACATTTCTTTAAGTAATCATTGGTAAATGTTTTGTTCCTTTGCACGAGTGAAAGGCGTGAAGTTATATCTTCGTGATTAAGTAGTTGCCTACTGAAGCTGAACCGATCACCCTGCGTTGAAGTTAAACACAAACAAATCAAACAAATGTTGTACTTTAATCTAACTGCAAATTAATTAATAGGATGCTGTCCATTATGTCTAGAATGTCTGAACGACGACATGTATCAGTTCGTTGTAGTGATTACCATATGACTTCCAGATTCGTCTCGAATACCAGCACTAGCACTGCCATAGTTTACTCCTGTGCTAATATCTTTATCAGTTATGGTGGCATAAGGTGGAATGAAGTTTGGAAAACCAAGAAATTGACCTGAAATCAAGAAAACCATAGAAGTTTACAGGAATAAAACATCAGTTTTTTTATGTCAATTGGAATGTGATTAAAATGAGCAACAAACATGTCTATGGTCAATCAAAACGAGAAAGAGAGAGACCAATGATGTCTGCATATGTGCGACCATTTGTGAATCTACCGCTAACACCTTGGGGAAAATCAATCCCGTAAGGTGTGTAGTTGGCTTTAGCTGCTGTTTTGAGTCCATTGTTATTGCCGCTGTCAACCAACGAGTCACCAAATAAGAAGTAACATGGGACTTGTGGTTCACCGGTAGCTACAAGTGTTAGAACCGGGATGAACTCTAGAACCATGAGAACAGAAAACAATCGGCTGGGCTCACGAGCCATGTTTGTTGGACTACAAATTAAGAGAGGGATGAAGATGGTTGGTTCTGAATGCAAAACGCATACTATTTAAAGAAAGAGGGGAGAGATGGCGAGATGGGGGAGTGGAAACTTTTACATTTTCAACGATTGGTGGGCAAGTTGGGAATCTAATTAGAAACTAAAATTAAAATTTATTTTTAATTTATATCTTATATCTATTTAATGAAATTATGATATTTATTAAGGGTGTTCAAAAAAACCGTTGGACCGTTCAAACCGGTTGAACCAAGTCAAACCGGACCGTTTTTGGCAGTTTAAGCGGTATGGCGGTCTGGTCTGGTTTGGAAAATAGCAAAAACCGGACGGTCCGATCCGGTCTATGGTCTGGAACCTTTTTTGGGCGGTTTGGACCAAACCGACCACCAAATACATACATACATACATATATATAGATGAGCGATCAAATGAAAACCACTCTCATTTGTACAAACCATACAAACCACCCTCATACGTCGATTTCATTGTTTAATCTTAAGAAATTTTTTCATGAAATTATTTAATCTTGTGAAATTGTTTCATATAATACTTTTTTTGATGAATTTGTTTCATATATGGTTATGAAATTATTTCATATAATATTTAATAAAATTTTAATGAAACTATTTCATGTATTTCTCTACAATTAAAATAATAAAGATGATAATATCCATGATTAACCCCCTCCACAATAAAAATGGTTAATCAACCTCTCATAATTACAAAAAAATGAACAAAATGAAAAATTATGATTGGTTGAATGAGGTTTGCACGGTTTGTACAAATTGGGTGGTTTTTATATGAACGCTCCTCTATATATATATATATATATATATATACACACACACACACACACATATATATACATATATATTAGTATTAACAAGCCCAACTTTTTTAACTTATGGGCGATGACCCAAATATATCTCTAAGCCTAACATCTAACATAATTAAAATCGGCACCTAAAATCATTAAATCATTAAACATAACGACACATTTGATATTGACGGTCTCCAAATTTTGAAATCCCTCAAGAACTCTATCAATCTATCGATCTTTATAATCCATGGTTTGATTTCGGCGCAAATCATCAAGACATCAACCAAGTGATTTAACCAACTTAGATTTGGTTTCTATTTTGTTTGGTCAATGACTCAAGACTCAAGAATTGAAGGTTGTGAAGTCGTGCATTTTGTTTCTCAATACTCACAGTGTAATTGTAACTTTGTTAATTTGTTTGTTTTCTAATATGTATTATATATTTATTTTTTTGTACTTTAGATTGCTTCGACTTTATACTCAATAGCTATTTAATTATTACATTTCTTTGCTTAGATATTTTGTTTTGTTAAAATGGATATTTAATCTAAAATTCTAAATTATATGTGTTTTTTAAGTTTAATATTTAAAGTCTATTAAAGACCCAAACCACCTAAACCGGTAAGATCAGACCGCCTTTTCGTGGTCTGGTTCAACCGCTCTGGGCACTTGATGTCAAACCGTTTGGTTTGAACATTTTATAAACCGCCATTACGGTTTGGTTTGTGATTTGAGGGGTTAAACCATCCAAATAGGACCGCGAACACCCATAATATTTATTGAAATAATATAAGTTGTTTCTCGCGGGAGAAAACCAAAACTTGGTAACCTATAATATTCGTAGGATCAAATACTTGTGTTAAGCATAAGTAATTGATAGTATTTAATGTTATTAAACACGTTTGAAATTGAGGGGTATAAATAAATGATGATTACTTTTTGTTACAAGTTTATACATGTGTTCAAAAACATAATAAACTCCTTCCACGAATTCCCATCGATCGGATTTGTGCATAACCCATAACTTTTTATGGTGCACATGCTTTGCAAAAGTTGTACACGTAAACGAACTAAGGAGGACCATCTCATTATCCCTTCTTTCAACATGTTTGCTTTCCCATCATTTTGCACATAAAAGATGATATTAAAGATCATGATCATAAAACTATATATATAGAGAGAGAGAGAGAGAGTTGGGTTCACGTAAGACCAAAAGCTTTTCCTGAGACCCATAAGACTAATTTATGTTTTTTGATCAATTTTATAAGTTGATGATCTAATGGTCTAAGGTTGTACGGTGACAATTTTATGATTATTGAGAAGTCTCGTGACATTTATGAATGTTCAGATTGTAGATCTGATCCAATGATTGAGAATTGGTCTTACGGGTACGAAAAACTCTTGGTCTCACATGATCCCAAATCTATATATATATATATATATATATATATGTAGGGGTTGGTTCAAATGCTAACCATGATTATTGTGTTAACTTTGTTAACCAATCTTGGCCATTGATTCATACAATAAACGGTTGTGATTAATTACGATAAAAAATTAATTTCTTAAATTTATAATTTCAAAAAACATACGTGACTAAAGAGGAAAAGGGTATTTAGGTAAAAAAAAATTATGTAACTCCCATATCATTAATTGGGAGTTACAAAATCAAAAAATCTCATTATTTTTGTTAATGTAAGAACCATATGAACATATATATATACCATTGTGTCAAATACGAACAAAAATTGACATATATATGAACTTGGATTGCATAACATTTATGAACATAATATAAATATCTACTACACGAAAGGAAATAAAAAAATAGATATGAACACAATATGAACAGTTTGTGAACAATAGTTCCTTCATTATGAACACATTCAGGAGTGAGCCAATATTAACATATGGAGCTAGTGTACATATGAACAGAAAATGAACAGTTTGTGAACAATAGTTCATTCATTATGAACACATTCAGGAGCGAGCCAATGTTGAGATATGCTGCTAGTGTACATATGAACACTTTTGAACAATAATTTCTTCATTATGAACAATGGATTTATTCACAATAGCTTGAACGATACCGAAAACTTTACTACCAGGACTTTTCTACCAATCACAAATTCAAAAACATTATATATAGAAAAATCAATATTATAAAAAAAACAAGATCAATAATAAATTAACAAAAATTATAAATTCAATATTAGATGTCTTGATTCATGTCCCTACTATGACATATATGAACACAACTGAACGTATATGAACACTAGTTGCAGTCTATGGCAGGTCAAACATTACAAACAGCTGATGGAGCCAAATGGTTATCAGAATTAGATTGTATAACAAATTAAGTTGATGATGAACTCATTCCATTTGATCATATGAATTGGGCTTGTAGTAATAATTAAAGAAAAAGCTACTAACATAATATGAACTATAAAAAACACAAAAACGTCATAATCAACATAATTTCGATTAAAAACGAATACAATAACATATTAATCCATTACCAATACAAACGCTTTGATTATTGTATTCACTTCCAGAACTCGAAGTCCGATTGTCATCGTAATCCATTTTAATCTTCTCATTGTTGTCAAATTGTTTTCCAATGGGTTTATCCATATTAGCTTGAACGATATCGAAAACTTTACTATCGGGTCTCCTTTAACAATCACAAATTCAAGAATATTATAAATAGATAAATCAATATTATAAAAAAAAGATCAATAGTAAATCAACAACAATTATGGGATTTTTTGATTTTGTAACTCCCAATTAATGATATGAGAGTTACATACAAACTAAAATTACATATTTATCATTGTCATTAAATTATGAGATGGATATGATCCTAGATAAAAGATGAATTTTCATTGGTTGAGTTTGATTAACAAAGTTAACACAATAATCTTGGTTGAATCAATATATATATATATATATATATATATGTATGTGTGTGTGTGTAATTTTCAACGCATCTTCCTTGGATTATAAACATGAAGTTCCATTTCATCATCTTATATGACTTAAAACCATAAAAGGTCGGTTGTCCCATCCTCCTTATCTCAACCATTGTCCTACCAATAAGATACCTCATTAATTTTTCATTGTATTTTTATGAAAAATTTGCACCAAAATTTTATACATGATTTTCATTCCAAAAACAACTTATTTTCATTGTACTTTAATGAAATTAGCACCATCTAATTAAAGATGATTAGCTTTATTCGTCGTCATTGGTTCGTTGTTGTCGCTACCGACCAACAAGACTCCAAATATAATGTAACAATAAGGCATGTTGCGGTTCACCCGCGACTCTAATGTTTGAACTTGCATGAGCCCTACAACTATGGTCGATTTTGAATGGAAAATGCATTGGTTATTAATTATAAGTAGCTATTGTTTTTAGTGATTAAATACCATGATTTTGCATAATACTTATTAATTATGTCATGTGGTCTTAAATTATCACTTTGTTACTTAATTAGCAAATATTGGATATGTTTATCGCATATATATAAAGTTAACTAATGCAAGTTTTTAATTATAAAATTATAATATTCTTTGAATTAATATAAATTCTTACTTTAGAAAAATAAAATCTTATACCGTCTACAAAACAGAAGACTTTCTCCCATGAAAAAATCCGTCAATGAAAGCTGGATCCGTCGATCATACGTCCATGAAAGTCTATCGGACATAAGACTTTCACCTATGGATTACCGAGGATTTCCGTCGGTAATTTTGTTTTTTTAATAATTTGATTTTACGATGGAAAAGTAATATTATTACAAAATCTTCCTAATCCAATCTAGTAGGATGGGAAGGGTTTCTAGTTTGGAACTATCTCATGAAAGCAGAAAACCGTTTTATTAGTGCATTATACCGAGCTAGCTCGTCAACTGTCTCCTTTTGTTATTCCTCCAACGCTGCCCTCTTTGAGTATCTAGTTGGCTCAGAAACTACTCACGATCTCCCTCATACTTTGCCAGCTTCTCTTTTAATGCATTTATCAATAATTATTCAATATTTGACAAACAATCAACAATGTGTTGATGATAAATGATTAAAATAATATATATATATATATATATAGAGGAGCGTTCAAATGAAAACTTGACCCATTTGTGTA